TTTTTAAGTGGTGTTTTCATGACCCTGCGTGCGACATGGCTGGTTTAAGCAAGCGGTTGTTGCACAAAGATCATTAGAGTGAGCAATCAGTCCAGCCAAAAGTCTCATGTGAGTAGGCTATTTGTTTGAAAAAAAAATGTAAATATACCTTATAGGATAGATTCCTGTTTGATTTGTTCTCCAGCGCCCACTCTGGCATGCCACTCATAATAGGATCTAGTTAATATTTGTTGAATGAATTAGGCCCACATACAATTTAACACTTAGAAACATACAACATCACCTTTCAAACCTTTTCCAAGAAGTACTTTTAAAGTAGCATTTAGACACAGACCCAAGGCTTCTTCCCTTTGGCCCGGAAATGTGGGGACTTGCTTTAAATGGCTTTGTATAACACTTAGATATAATTCACATGCCATAAAATTTACCCTTGAAAGTGTATTCATTTTTAGTGTGTGAACAAAGTTGTGCAGCTGTCAACATGACCTAACCCCAGAGCATTTTTATCACCCAAAGGAAACTCATTAGAAGAAACGGGTCAGACCCATTAGAAGTCACTCTTCATTCTCCCTTCCTTCTGACCCATGACAGCCACTAATCTGCTTTCCCACACTACATATTTGCCTAATGTGGACGTTTCACATAAGGGATCACACCATATGTATCCTTTCTGTGTCTGGCTTCTTTCCCTTAGTGTAATGTCTTCAAAGTCATGTCATAGCATTTATCAGTACCTCATTTGTATGTAGCTGAATACACTTCCACTGTGTGGCTGTCCCATGTTTTGTCTATCCATTCTTCGGTGATGAACATTTGTATTGTTGCCATTTTAAGGCTATTATAAATAATGCATTTATGAGCATTTTTGAGTGAGTTTTTCTGTGAACATAAGTTTCACATTCTCTTGGTCCCTGGAGTATAAATGACCTTTTTTAAAAGTATGGTTTTTAAAAAATATTTTATCTTAAAAGTGCTTCATACTTTATAATATGTTCTAAAAGATTGCATGGTTATTGCTAGTTATTTGCTTAAAGTGCTAGTTGAATTATTTCATTTTGCTCCAGAAATCTAAGTACCACTGGCCTTTCAGGAAGATGTCCCCTGTGTCCTGTGGCTCTGGAACCCCCTGGTTTGTGTCTCCCTGAATAGGAGTAGGCCACTGTTTAGTGCCATTCTGGTAAGAAATTGGGAGTTCAATTCTAAGTAGATGGTGCCTTGCTTCTTTGTCAAGAAATATTGTTTCTTCTTAGAAAAACAATAAAATCTTGAAAGTTGAAACTAGACAGGAGTATGAGAGTTTGTGTAATAGAATCCTTTTATTTTACTGCTCTTTGAGCTGAGGGAGGCCCAGGAGGTTAAAATCCTTGCTCGGGTCCTACAGGTGGTTAGTTAGAGAAGCAGGGTAGAAAGCCAGATCTCCTAAATCCTGGCTGTGTTCCTTCTACAATACTTTCCTCTACTGTCTGAATGTTAAATAATATAATACAAAATAATCAATGCATGAAGGTAATTTTTTCAGATAAATTCTTAGAGAAAATGCTTTCATAGTTTTACAGGACAAAAGTTTCTTAGCCTTCCTTGTCCTCCTCAATTCACAGGGAGAAAGAGGGAAAAGAGAATTAATGAAGAAATACTGTTGGGCCGGGGATTTAGCTCAGCGGTACCACCGCCCGCTTTGCAAGTGCAAGGTCCTGACTTCGATCCCCTGTACCAAAAAAAGAAAACAACAGCAAAAAAGAAATACTATCACTTGTAGTTTGTTCTCAAAGAAGAAAGAATTATAGGCATTTGTGAATACTGAGACCATCGTAAACAAAAGTTATACATTCCTGTTAACTTCCTTTGGTATTCATCGTGGTTTCTTTGTATCACGTTCCGGCATTTACATACCAGTAGTTTAAAAGGGGAGTGCAGGGATTAGGTGTAATTATTTTACCCATCTGTAGTCAGATTGTGCAATAGCTTATACAATTAACCACTTGGCTTGCCTAAATGTCATGCTAGATATCACTTATCCTCACAGTGAGTCAGGAGTGAGAATGGGTTCGTTCACTATTTCCAGTAAGCAATTTATACCAGTGGGCGTTGTAGCTGGTGGGAAACGGTAGGACCAGAAGGTACACTTATTGGAAGATCTCAGAAATGTGCCCTTGGGTCCTCGAATAGGGCTGTGTGTCAACCCCAAGCAGCTGAGAATGTGGCAGCATCCCAAAGCCAAGAAGAGGCTCCTGATCCCCAAGTCTGGGAATGTCGTTCCCGAGCACAAACCCGAGAACAGGTGCTGTGTACAACCCTGTGGTCCAGGCGCGGGTTACGGCTCCATTATCTCAACGTGATCTTGGCGTTTCATCTCCACGTCCCTTATCTCTAAAATTAGGCAGGTAGACTTGTTGACTTTGAAAAAAAAAACTATTGACTTTAGAATATCACAGCTTCACACTTGAGTGGTTTTAGATGTCAAGTGTATTGGAGATAAAAAATAGAATGCAAAGGTAATAAGAACTTGGGCCTTAAATAAAGTTTAGCCAGAATGAACATTGAGGCCTTTGTGATAATAGGCAATTTTATATAGCTTTCCAAGATTTCACTGTTACCCTTAAAAGCCAGGGAGGGAGATGACAATCCAACCTACCTCATGAGGCTTTCGGGAGGTAGTATTAGGAATGCAAAACTTTTAGCACAGTGCCTGATATGTCATATGATGAAATATTTATTTGTAGCAAGTAGTATTGTTATTTTCTTTAGGGACATTTTATCCTAATAATATGTTGTTAACTTCAGAAATAAATGAATATAATGCCAGTTAATTTTAGTAATATTATAATGTATATAAACTAAAATAGTGTTGGAAAGAGTATAATGAATTAACCCTAAAGTACTTGGATTGTTTTTTTTTTTTTAAGGCTGTTATTGAGAGTATTGGAGTTTAGGCTCAGTAGGATCACAGGTGGGATGCAGAGATGGAGGTTTTGGAGCAAGTGAAAAAAAATTTTACTTACTTTCTCCTTGACATGATTGTTGTCTGTAATACTCTTTTCATCTTCCTTTCCTGATTTGAAGACAGAATATAGTTATCTATGGAAAACTTCTCCAAGTTAATGGTGAATAACCACTTGCTCTACATTATGGAAAAATAAAACTAGATTTCCATAGTGGTTGCACCAGTCTGCACTCCCACCAACAATGGAGAAGTGTTCCTTTCTCCCCACAACCCACCAGCATTTGTTATTGGTTGATTTCTTGATAGCAGCCATTCTTTCTGGGGTGAGGTGGAATCTCAGTGTTGTTTTCATCTGCATCTCTCGAATGACCAGTGATGTGGAGCATTTTTTCATATATTTACTTGCTGCTTTTACTTCTTTGTCTGAGAAATGTCTGTTCATTTCAGATGCCCATTTTTGAATTGGGTCTTTATATTTGGGGGGGCTAATTGTTTTGAATTCTTTATATATTCTAGATAGCAGTCCTTTGTCTGAAAAGCAGCTGGTAAAACTTTTTCCCCCACATTGTAGGTTGTCTCTTAGTTCTGTTGATGGTTTCTTTTGCAGTGCAGAAGCTTTTAGATAAGACGAGATCCCAGTTGTTGATTCTTTCTGCTAGTTCCCATGCTACTGAGGATTTGTTCAAAGTGTTTTTCCTGTGCCAGTGTCTTCAAGAGTTCTGCCTAACTTATCTTTCAGCAAGTTTAATGTTTCTGTTTTAATATATGGAGATACCTCAAAGAGCTGGTACTATAGGTTCCATTTGATCCAGCCATACCTCTGCTGGGTATCTTTCCAAAAGGAATAAAAGAATCATATCACAGTGATATATGCGCACCTACGTTTATAGCAGCACAGTTTGTAATAGCTAAAACTTGGAAATAGCCCATTTGCCCATCAGTTGGAGACTGGATAAAGAAGATGTGGTTTTTCTATAAAATGGAATACTACTCAGCCATAAAGAATGAGAAATTAGAGTCATTCATAGGAAAATAGGTACATATTGAGGATATACTCCTAAGTGAAATAAATAAGTCACACATGTGAAAATACCAAATAGCTTCTCTGGTGTGAAAAACTATAATAGTACACAAGATCTTAATGAGATAATTGACCATGTGAAATAGGAAGAAAAGGGCTAAAGGTGTAGGGAAAGTGGGAAGGGTAGGGGAAAGGGAATAAGGGAAAAGAAAAAAATATGAGAAAATGAAAAAATGGAAATAAAGTGTTAGTAAATCGGGAGGGGAGGAGGAGGTGAAGGGAGGGCAGGGACAAGGGGAAAAATGAGAACCAAGATCCATCATGCAAAGGTACAAGATCCCAATAATGAATGTAACTGTACTCTATACCTAAAATGTACCAATAAACTCAATGAAGAGAAAAAAAAATGAAAAGAGAGAAAAATAAAACTAGATTATTGTGTTTATCATGTAAAAATAAACTTATCTATTCTAAGCTGCCTCCTTGTAGTTTCTGCCACTACTTTTGTAAACATTGTTTTGATGTGAATCAAGAGCTTAGAAGTTTAGTAATTTTGGAACAGATACCCAGACAATGTTTTTCCGGGTATTAGTATGATTCACTGTCACTGTTCCATAGTGGTTTGCTAAATTGTCTGAAGGAATTTGTTTAAGATAAGGTCTCTAAGGAGTCAAAACCAGTATGTGAAATATTTTGGGAAAGTTGGCAACTTTTGTTTGATAGCTTGAAGAATTAACTCTTCATTTCTCAAAAGGAGAGATGATAAGTGTGTGTAGTACATGTTTGTGTGACAAAGTGATATGTCAGTGTACATAAGACTTCAGTGATCATCTCTGAATGTATAGATCCTGAATGTTTCACACCTGCCCCAGTACCATCTTATCTTACTTTACTGTTTTATGTGACAAATGGGAGAGGAAAAGTTTTGACTCCCAAGTGTAATCTCACCAACTTCTGTTGTGAACAACTCAATCCAGCAATGCCTTGTATACCTTCTATTCTTTAATCTCTAATGGTGCTTTTATGCTTCTTTCATAGGAAGAGGAGTTTCATAAGAACTCTCTACCCATCCTTTTAACAAAAGGCTTAGAAAGAGAGATGCCAATACCATCCCCAAAATCCAAGGTAAATTTTCTTTGGCTGTTGTGTGAAGCTTTTAGTGTGGCTCTTTATCCTCTTCCATCTCCATATTCTGTTGATTGCCCTTCTTTCAGCCTTTGGGAATGTTTTTAGGGTAATGTAAGTGCAGGTTTCATTTTAATACATTTATTCAAGGTGTATATGCCTTCCAAACTTCTTAGAACACTCCTGTTACTTAATAAACAATTTAATTTTTTAGTGGGTGGTTTTCTTCTGCTCAGAGTTGTTTCCAGCCTTCAATACAGAATACAGTCAAGTGTAGAGATCTTGCATAGGGCACTTCTTTTTTTCTTTGTTTGTTTTGGTACTAGGGACTGAACTCAGGACCTTATACTTTTAAGACAGGCACGGCACCACTGAGCTAAATTCCCAGCCTTGTCCAGGGTACTTTTAAGCATGATAGAAATTTGTGAGATGCATTTTCTCTTACTGGGCTAAAGTAAAATGACCAATTATAATTTTTCTTTTTCAAAATAGAAATGATTATTGAGTTTTCATAATAATAAAAGTAAGACATCATTAATAAAAAGTACTTAAACTTGACAAAGAAAAATAACTATTATAGGTGTAATATAATAAAATTCAATATGTAAAATTTTGTTTCTTATGTTACAAAAAAAAATCCAAAATGCACATGTGTTTTGCCAGTGAAAAGAAATATTTTATCCTAAAATATGTCATGAGAATTTGATCATTTTCCACTGAGAAAAGTGACTATATTAACTTTGTAGACCCTTATGTTTCTGATCTTTACCTTTCCTTTTAAGTAGAATGTGTTCTTAACTAGGTATATATAACATTTCTAACTGATCACTTTGACAATTATAAAGCTACCCTACTTTCCCTCAGTTCTAAGACAAAATGTTCTCTAAACCTTCTTAGTCTGCTGTAAGCAAGATTTTATTTAAAAATTATGTTTTTATATTTTAATCACAGATTGCTACAAAAACAATTATGAATTTATTTGCAAAGGCAGATTTTATTATGGCAAGAATGCATTGTTAAATTTAAAAAGAAAACTATTCTTTGTAAATTTTAAATACACTTTTATTTTTGGAAAATTACTTCAATTATCTATTATGCTTTCTTTCCAGATTTAAACTAACTTTTGTATCTTTTTCACTAAAATATTTGCATGTGGAAATGTACATTAAAATAATTCATGTGTATAGTAAAAGTTTTCTGTTTATTACACAGTTAATACCTTAAAATTCAGTGTCCAAAACATACGCATCAAACAGGCACATCAAAAATGATATATGGCTTCAGGAACATTTTTAGATGACATTTCCTTTCTAATTCCATTTATATTGCTATAATTATTTCGAGGGGATCAGACCCTAGCGAAGTCACTTCCAAAATGAAAGATATTTTTGTACTGTTTGTAAAAATTGTTTGAAGAGCTCCTAATATAGTCGTGAAGTTCATCCAATTTGTAATATTTTAGGTATATACAGAATCAATAATTAATGTGTGCTTATTAGCCTTCCTTCTATCTCGATATACGGCTTATGTCCTGTGTAATTGAGTCGAGAAATGAACGTATTAGTTAAGTCTTGGTTTGTGACGCTGGCTTCTTTATGACCTTACATGAGCCAGCTTAAGTTTACATAAGCAAACTAATCTCTGCTTAGTTGAGGGGTGATTATAATCTTTGTAATTGGAAATCCCAGAAATGAGTCAGAGCATGTGAACTACAAGAGATTATGAAGGCAAGAACACTCTCACCAAGATTTTATAAGATGTTTTTCTTCTAGATAATCTGGGAAAGCTGAAACTGAAAACACCTTGAAACTGTGGGTGGTATATTCTTTCTAGGGTGGTTTAGTAAGCCCTGAGAATGTTGTGTATCCTTGGTGTTAATGTTGCTCTCTTTGGCCTCTATTGCTGTCTGTGTCAGACATCTCTAGTCCCAGATATATTTGCCTTGGGCAGCTAAGTATTTCCGATGGCTGCATGGGCCAGAGATATAAAAATCCAAAAATGGCCTATGTCCATTAGCTCTAGAGATGCCTCTCTGGGCTACATCATCTACCCCCATGTGTGTTCCCTCTGCCAACTGTTGTCTCTGCTCTTGGGCAATGAGAAAGATTGTATTTCTCTTCCTTAAGTAAGAGAGCCACCTCTTGATTTGAGTCCAAGATGAAAAAATGATACCTCCTTCACACTGTGCCATGACACTTCCTGGATGAGTAATGGTCCCCACCCCTTCAAGCTCAAGGACATACGTTCTCCTGTAAGTTTTCATACTCGGGACTGTGGAGACCACATGTGCAAACAAATAATTGGTATAGATGACACAGAAGATGACATAAAATAGACTTTAATAAAGAGATGGAGCCTATAGAAAGACACAGCTACTGAAACCTACTAAAATCATGACCAGCAGAGATGACAGAGTGTACCCCACATGTGCTAGGACTCTCAATGAGCTGCACAACTCGTTTTGTTGTTTGTTTTTTTCAAAATATAAACCAGAAAAGTTTGCAGTACACAGAGGGGGGAAAAATGGTCTTCTTTCACGCTTCTCTTTGGGTATACACTGGACTTCCTGCTTCAGTTTCTACGTTCTTGACCTCAGGAGAGCACTCAAGGTCAGGTGATGGTATAATGCTATATATCAGATTCATTCAGTGCTAGGATAAAGGTAGATAATAAATGATGATTTATTTCCTTCCTGATTTTTATCAGTGGATTAAAAACACTGATGAACATTAAATTTCAAGTACATAATAATTTGGGTTAGTCATTGAATTGTCCTAGTACTTTTAAAGATGTTTCCCTTAATAAGCAGAGCTGCTAACCATAAAATGTGTGATAAAGATGATGCTGTTGTCATGTTAACAGTTATGGGATAGAAGAACTACCAAATTATTTTCTTTTCAAAGGGTATTATTGTTCTCAAAGACCATGAATTATTTAAGATTTTCTTCAATAATGAGATTAACTGTTGCAGTGTGTTTTCATAAGTGTTTTTAAAAATGTGCTTCTTAGAACAGTAAACTTGAAATTCAAAATAATATAGGTTTGTGAGAAAATTTAGTGGCAACTAATTTTAACTTAATTTTCAACATACAAATTAATAGATAATTGTCAAGTTTCCAAATTGTTTTAAAGTCATTAATAGATAGACATGTATTTACTTTATGTTGCATTTATTAATGTGTACATCCTAATTAGTATTCTCCTTTATTCCAGTTAATGTTTTGCTACTCTTTGTTTAATACATCAACTTAGTTTGCATGTTTCCTCTCTCAGTAAAAGTGTCAGTAGTCATAGTAGTGCTGAGGATGATCCAGAACATGGATAAAGCGCCAGGCACTATACTGTTCAATGCATGTGGTCTCATCTAACAATCATGACATTTTGTATATTATATCATCTTTAGCCATTTTGAATATTTGGGACAAGTTCAACTTAACATCCATATTAAAATCCACTATACCATGTATGAATAAATGAAAAAGAATATTATTTTCTTAGACTTTATTACCTATAGCAGAATTAAAGGATATGTGTAATTTTAGGACTAACCTGCCTAATATAGCATCTATCTTTCCTCCAAGTAGTACCACTTTGAAATTGATGTGTATCATTTCTAACCATGTTACTGGCTAATACCTATATATCTGTCTATAGTACTTATTATAGTTTTGCAAGTTCTAACACTTTATATAAAAACAGTATACAGTACATTGCATTTTGTGACTTCCTTCTGTGCTCCACTCCCCAGCCCTTCCTTAGTGCACAGCAGCAGACAACAGGGCACAGATGAGTGATTTGGGAACACAACCCCCTCAGTCTGCAGTGAATCTGTATTATGACCAAGACATAAGCCTATTTAATTTCTTGTTTTTCTGTTCTGTATGCTTTGTCATTAGTCACTGTCACTTTCAGTAAGAATATAGTCGTTCTATATTCTAGTATAATATATTCTAGTATTTTCTGAGTACTTAGATTCTCTCTAATATTTATGTCATCTCCATTGCCACTACAAACACGACCCTTCTTCTTCTATGTGGAAGTATCGAGTCATAAGCACGTACTGCCTCTAACTTGTCCAGACATTAAGAATACTCTCAAAGGATGTTGAAACAATCTACATGATAACTATTTGTATTTTTCACATCTTCACCAATCCTTGATAGTATAAGAGTTTCTGTTGCTACTGTTTATCCCCCCCAGTTTAACAGGGGTGAGATGCATCTTGCCTTAATAGGTTGGATTATTCTGTTTCCAGTTGTGGCCAGCACATTCATTAGTAACTGAATATCCATGTGTCTCCTACCCCTGTACTGTGAGATGGGGCCAGCTATTTACAGCCAACTGGCTATAAGCAGAGGCGACAAATGTCCTTTCAGGAGCTGAGAATTAAAAGCTTGTGTATGACTCTCTACCCCTTCTTTACTGTACAGCAGCTAGACAGTGGAGCATGATTCTTTAGTGACCTCTGAAAGGATCCCTCCAACATGCGTTAGACCTCTTTCTGCTTAAGAAATAAGCCTCTGTTTGTGAAACCACCAAGATGTCTAGATTGATTTCTGACTTCATCACAGTGTTGTCTATCCTGATTAGGACAAGTGGGCAGCTCTCCATGTGTTTATGGTTTCGTATGTTTACTATCCCTCGGTCATATCCCTGGCCATTAATATGAACACCACTCTGCTGTCACTGTCAGTTTTACTGCAGAGTCATTGGCCTTTTTCTTGATTTGTAGAAGTTGGCTTGTTAGCTGTTTCCAGATATGGATGTTCCAAATATACTTCTTTTAATTTTTGTGTTTTATTTTCATATTGAATATAATACCTTTTAATGTATAAAAGCTTTTTAATGTAGTCAAAATTAACCAACTTCAATTTTGTACTTTTCTCTATCTTGTTTAAGAAATCATCACTGATCTCAATGTCATTAAGAAAGTTTTTTTATTGTTTTCCAAAGGTTTTATATTTTGCTTCCCATATATATTTGCTTAATCCATTTGAAATTGAATTCTTTGTAAAGCAAAAGTAGGAATCAAATTTTTACATGAAAATCAATAAACTCAGCACAATTTTTAGTAGGGTTTTTTTTTTTATTTGTTTGTTTGTTTGTTTGTTTTTTTACTGGTACTGGGGATCAAATTCAGGCCCCTGCGCTTGTGAAGCAGGCAGCAAAACCACTGAGCCAAATCCCTGGCCCCTCATCTTCTTATTTTTTGAAATATCTTTTCTGTTACATCTTCAGTTTTTCTTATGTCTGTTTCTACACTGTATTTTTGTTGCATGGTCTATTTGTCTACTTTGCATCATTTCCACCATGTCTTAATTAGTGATTTCTACTGGGACTGGTCCCCTCAACTTTGTTTTCTTTCTTGGAAATTATCTTGGCATTCATAATCCTTGTATTTTGCAGTTAAATATTGTCACGTTTCATGAGAAATTTTACTTAGACTTTACATTCAGTGTAATCTAGAGTTTAATTGCATGAGAATTGATGTCTAATCTGTGACTTCTGTATAATTTGAAGTCCCTTTTAATGTCTTTTGATTTAATGCACATGTTAATTTCTTAATGGCCTGAGCAGCTCACATTTTATAGATATTTTTCATGGAATACATTTTTCAGACTGTGTCCCTATTTTCCATCCTGAAACTGATTTTTACTATTGATCTTATATTTAGAAGCCTTGCCAAATTCTCATTCTGTAGTTCTGGTGTTTTGTTCATCAGTTCTTTTTGACTTCCCATGCATTCATGTTATCTGGGAATAAAGAACATTGATTATTCTTTTTCAAGCTCTTCATCATTTAATTTCTTTCATTTATTTATTTATTAATCCTATTTTGTTCATAGTACTTCCAACAGAGGGTTAGGTAAAAGTAGTTTCTGTGTGTTTCCTTGACTTACTTCCTTGTTTTAAGGAGAATTTTCTCCATTTGACTTTTAGTATGATCATGGTTTTTCTCTCTCCTCCTCCTTTTCTGTTCCTCCCCATCTCTCCCCCTTTGCCATTCTTTTCCTCTCCCCACTCCAGCTCTACCAAGCACGTAGTGTACTTGTAATACTTAAAAATAAACAAATGACTCAATTGCTTCTTTTATTTCATATGAACAAACTTAATGTCAGTGTGTTTTTCTTTACCCATTTACTTACTGTTAGGTTTGACATTTGCTAAAGCTATTTGGTACATGTTAATTGCAAGCTTAGGAGATTCCTTTATATTTTTTAGTTTGTTGGGAGTTTTTGTCTTGATAAATTTTAGCAAATATTTTCTTCTGCATCTGTTAAGATAACTGTATTTTTTTTTCTTACTTACATTTTTATTGTGAGTAGTTTTATTGATGGATTTTTAAACCTTGGACCAATAATGTACTATAGGAATAAGCTTGTTCTGAGCCTGGACTTGATACATATTTTATATGCCCTAAAATTTGGAGCACCTAGTATTTTATTTAGTTTTTAGTATATATTTAGTATCTTTGTATCTATGCTTATAAATGTTTTATTTTTTCTAAACTTTTGGTATAAAGTTTATGGTATTGTAATAAAATGGAATAAGTAGAGTTCCTCTTTTCTTATCTGTTAAATAGTTTTAAGAGCTTATTTGACACAACATATAAAACTGCCTGGGTGTGATATCGGATTTGTTGGTCTAATGTTTTTAATTTTTGTTTTACTTTATATTTGTTTTGGTAAGCTATTTTTAACTAGTGATTCACTTCATTTAATGGTTAGAGATATATTCATATTCTTATTCTGAATTTGTTTGGATAGATTATATTTTCTAGAGAATTGTCTATTTAAACTAATTAAGCCAAGAATAAAATATTTGAATGTTTGCTCTTATTTTCTTTTTTTTTTCTTTGCTCTTATTTTCAAAATCTGTGTGCTATTTGTAAGTATAAACTCTTCATTTCCAGTATATGCTTCGAGGCCTTCTCTTTTTAGTTCTTGATTAGGCTTGCAAGAAATTTGTCTGTTAATCTTTTCAAAGAACCAGTTTTTACTTTTGCTGATTCTCTATTATATCCTAATTTCCCATCTATTCGATCTTCAATATTTATTCAATAATTTCTTTCTTCACTGTATCTGTTATTCATATGGTAGACTGTTTTCTTCCTTTTTTCCAAGACAGAAACCACTGCTTTTGAGTGTGACATTCTTGAAAAAGAAGTAGGTATCATACTTCCAGGACAAAATGCATTGTTCTATATTTAAAGAAAAGTGAGCTTTTAAATTTTTTATTTAATTGACATATAATATCTGCACATATTTATAAAGCATAATATATTTATATAATGTACACACAGTGTAATAATCACAACAGAACAATTAGTATTTGTTTCTAGGCTGAAGATGCAACACAAGGCTTCCTACATGGAAAGCCTGCACTCTATTTAGCTACATTCTCAGCCCAGTAATTAGCATTTCTTTTTCTTCAGGCATTTATCATATCCATGTGTTGGAAACCTTTGAACTCTTCTGCTTATCTTGAAATATGTAATAAATTATTATACATTATAATTACCCTACTGTACTCTACAGAACACTAGAAGTAGTTCATTCTATCAAACAGTGTTTTGGTAGCCATTTTAACTCTATCTTGAACCCCTTTCTTCTCCAGAGACCACTGTTTTACTCTATTCTATATGATCAGCTTTTTAGCTTCCACAAATGAGTGAGCATGTGTAATATTTATCTTTCTGTACCTTGCTTATTTCACTAACAACATGTTCTCTAGTTCCATCTATATTATCACAAATGGCAAAATAATGTCATTTTAGGGATGAATAATATTTGTGTGTGTGTGTGTGTGTGCACTGAATTTTACCCCTTCATCTGATGATGGCCACAGTGGTTGATTGCATATTTTAGCTGTTATGAATAGTGTTACAATACATATGCAAGTGTAGCTGTTTCTTTAATTATTTCATTTCCTTTAGATACACTATATCCACTAGCTAGATATTTTTAGTTTTTTGAGAAATTGCATAGTGTTTTCTACAGTGACTATACTAATTTACATTTTTATCAGCAATTGTATGAGAGTCTCTTTACATCCCCATCAGACTTATTTTTAAATTTTTTGATAATAGCTATTATAACAGCTAAAATGATGACTCATTGTGGTTTTGTTTGTCTTTTCATGAGATTAATGGTGTTAAGTATCTTTTCATACAATAGTTGGCTGTGTGTGTCTTTTGAGAAATGTGTTTCAGATTACTTGTTTTCTGGTTGGATTTTTTGTCGTGTGGGAGTTTGTTTTATTTTCTTAGGGGTTTTTGTTGGTTTGGAGTTTTGTTTTTTTTTTCTTGTTGAGTGTTTTAAACTCTTCTTATATTCTAGATATCATTATCTCATGTCAGATGAAAACTTTGTACAAATAGTCTCTTTCATTGTGTGTCTTGAGTGTTCATTATTTCCTTTTCTGTTCAGAAGACTTTTAGTTTGTCGGTTTTTGCCTGTAGTTTATAGTCATATTTTTTTAAAAAACTTTGCCTAGGCCAGTGTATCAAAGTATTTTCCCTTGCTTTCTTCCAGTAGTTGTGTAGTTTTCAGTATTAAATTTGAGTCTTTGATTGATTTTGAGTTAATTGTAAATATGAAGAGACATAAGGGTCTAGATTTTTTTCTTCTACATGCAGATACCCAGTTTCACCAGCACCATTTATTGAAGAGATGGTTCTGTGTCCACTGTATGTTCTTGGGGCCTTTGTCAGATATCAGTATGTAAATTACTTCCTGGGTTCTCTGTTCAGTTCCATTTGTCTCTTTTTTATGTCAATACCATAATTGCCTTCTTATTGTTTTGTATATTCTTTGTGCCTTTCTGCCTCTGTTGTTTTATTTCTGTGGTTGGTGGTTTTCTTTCATGATAAGGTTTGATTCTTTCCTTTTTTTCATTTATGTGTCTTTTACCAGCAATTTTTATTCATTTGCATTCATTTTATTTCATTTGTTTTGGGGTTTTTTTTTGTTGTTGTTTGTTTGGTTTTTTTTTTTTTTTTTTTTTTTTGTTTTTTTTTTTTTTTTTTTTTTGGTACCAGGGATCAAACTCAGGTCCTTGCGCTTGCAAGGCAGGCCACCGAACCGCTGAGCTAAATCCCTGGCCTTATTTCATTTGTTTAGACACCCTCCTTTTTCTACCAGATATGGTACTTTCATTTTCTTCCTTGTAAGGCCAGTCTAGTGGTGAAATAAATTCCCTCAATTTCTGTCGTGTGTGTGTGTGTGTGTGTGTGTGTGTGTGTGTGTGTGGTATCTGGGATCAAACTCAAGACCTTGCACTTGCCAGGCAGGCGCAGTGCCAAAGAGCTATATCCCTGGCCCCCATGAATTCCCTCACTTTCAGCTTGTCTGGCAAAGATTTTGTTTCTCTTTTAATTCTAGCTTTGCTAGATACAGTATTCTTTATTCTTGTTTGAAAGCTTTTTGTTTGGGGGACTTTGAGCATTTTATTCCATTTTCTTTGTCCTGTAAGGTTTCTGCTGAGAACTCTACTATTATTCAAATGGTAGTCTTCTCTTAGGTGGCGCTTGATGTTTTTCTGGATATTTTTAGAATTCTGTCTTAGTTTTGGACACTAACTATAATACTTCTTGGAAAGGACCTTTTGTTTATTTTGTGTGTTCTCTAATTCTCAGAATTTCTTAATTTCTTTTCTAGTCTTTATGTTTTGCATTTTTTTAACCTGTCTTCAAGTCAGAAATTATTTCTCCTGTTTGATCTAGACTATTGCTGAAGCTCTCAAAAGTATTTTATTTCATTGAATTCTTTAGCTCCAAGATTTGTTTGGCTCTTTTAATGTTTTCTATCTTTTTGATGATTTTCTAGTTCATATCATGAATTGTTTTCATCATTTTGTTAAATTATCTACCTCTTCTATCTTGCATCTCACTAAGTCTCTTTAGAATCACTTTTTAATTTATTTTTGGGGATTTCATAGATTTCCTTTACTGGGGCTGTTTTTTGGAGAAGCATTATGTTCCTTTGAAGATTTGTGTCTTTCCATTTTCATTCTTCGTTTGTCCTAAATTGATGTCTGCACATTTGGTATAGCAAATGCTTCTTCCAATTTTGTATAGTAGCTTTCATAGGGAAAGACTTTTTCATTTAGATGGCTCAGGGTATCATTTGAGTGAGTGCTTTGCCTTTGATTCTGAGTGGGTGCAGATAGTCTGTGAGGGATTTCTGTAATGAACATCAACGATGTCTGCTGTCTGTGAGTACCTCAGTAATCTACACTGTTTGCAGAGGTAGTGGTTCAACTTTACTGTGGACATGGGCTGCCATGAGTGCATGACAACAGGTTTCACAAAAGCAGATGCAGATAGGTGTGGAAGGTTAGGTTCTCAGGCCCGGTGGAAGCATGTGCCACTGGTGATGGAACTTCTGATTGGAACGGCCAGGATCTGAGGATGGGGAGGCAGGGGGGCACATTCTTAGGCACCCTGGAGGCGAGCACCAATGGTTGCAGTGTAGCCATGGTCCAGTGACGTGCGCTGCAGAGGGTATTTCTTCAGGCTCCCCAAGGCAAGTGTAGATGATGGTGGCGTCTCTGATGGTTCAGCCGTAATGTCAGGATCCAGGCCTTCTTTTTATCTTAATGTCTACCAGATTCTCCTCCATATACATATATTTTAAATTATTTATATATGATATGATGGGTTATATGACATTGAAGTTTTGTCACAATTTTTTTTTTTGCTTCACAATAGTTTTGAGTGTATTAGTTCTGTTTACTAAAAGCCTCTTTTGATGTGTGAAATATCTTAATAATAGAACTCATTATTAGGGTGGTGGCATTTTCTCTCTCTTTTTCCCCTTTTCATTTATGTTAATATTTTAATGATATCAGGTGGATAGTGAATATTCATAAATGCCTGAAAATGAAGGAATATTTCTCTTATTCTATGTGAAAGTGGTAAGGGATAATATATGTATATTGTGGTAATGAAATCTTGCTCTTCTAAGTATCTAGTCAAATTTACTTCATTTTTACTTCATTTTTCCTTTGGAAATAGTTGAGTAACAATGTATATTATCTGGAATTTAGGATTATTTGGATTTGTGCATTTGTATCTTTCTCTGATTTACCTTTGAGCTTTTCTTGATATACTTTCCCAACTGCTTTTACCATCCCACGGGTTTGCATTTGTAAATATCTGTTTCTCTTTTTACATAAAAGTGCTCCATATTTTATGAAAGTAAGATACTGTGCATTTTGTCATATCACCTGTAGCTGCTAGGTGATAGAATTCTGTTTTCTCTTTTGCCTTTTCTACTATCTTGGGAAATAGCTTTGCAAAGCTCTACCTTCAGTGCTTAACGCTATGAGATTAAATAATAAAATACTTTGTTTATATATTATCAGAATTGTATCTATGTCTAAATTTTCTAATTATGAGCATATTTATTTTGGCTTTCAAGTCACCAGGAATGTGTTTGAAGAGTTCCTGAGACCTCTTTAAAATTGATAACAATTACTAGGTAGTGTCTTTCTTCTTTCTATAATATTGTATAACATATATTATATTGAAAAAACAATACAAGGTTAAATCACTTAAAATAACAGTATGAAATTTAATAGCATATCTGGATATATCTGCCTGATCTCTTAATCTTAATAATTTTGCTCATTTAACTTGTTTTTGCACTTATCCTGTTTACAGGCTCTGAAAAGAGCAATAATTCTAAGGTAGAAAATGGAAAGAACTCTAATTAAGAGTTTCTAGGGGGCCGGGGATTTAGATCAGTGGCACAGCACCTGCCTTACAAGCACAAGGTACCGGGGAAAACAAGTGTCTCTGCTGGACAATCCAGCATGTATCCAGTCTAAACTCATGAGTATTCAGTACCCTGCTTCCTGAGTAAATTTAGATACATCACCCCTGACCCTTCCTGGGCCACAATCATCTCCTCTTGCCCATCCTCCCTGCTCTGATAAGCACATGAAAGCTTCAACTCACTTTGGACATTTCTTCACATCTATCTTGTGCCAGGTGCTGGGGACACAAGATTGCAAAGCCTGCCTCTTACTTTGAGGGACTGAGGGGAGCAAGAAACCAGGCATATATAAAGACAGCTACATGAAAATAGCATGTGTAGCGGATACGTTTTTCTCAACTCAGATCTATGGTTGGGTTTACTGTCCTGTTTGGCAAACAGAATGCTCTGCTTTTTCACTAACCCAAATGAGCTTACTAATCTCTTTGTTCCAGTTTCCCCTTATTTGCCCTATTCTCCATCTATGACCAAAGTCTGGGAATAGTTTTTAATGCTGACTCCTACGACAAGCATTTCCATAGTATCACTGGCCATGCTCAAAACTAGTTTTGTTGCTCAGTCTTCTCATAGCCTGATGCAGGTGAGCTGGGATTCCAGGGAGCAAGATCTAAGCAGTGATTCAGGTCACAGAATGCCTCTACCTTTTAACTATGTCATCTAAGAACATGGCACCTAAAATGGCCCCTAGTGGAGAATCGAGCAAAGCCACACAAAGTTCAGAGGCACTGCCTGGACACAGAGATGATCCTTGTCCCTTTTACATATATTTCAGAAGCTGTGCTCGCTTTGGCAGCACATATACATACATTTCAGAAGTCAGTAACATTTATGGGAGACTGGGAATTGTCATTTTCCAGTGTGCCTAGGAAGAGGAAATGACATGGAAGTTGTTAAAGACACAGCATTGTTGTTGCTACATCCCACTCTTCTTTCTCCAAATGCATTTTTCCATTTCTCTTATGTAAAAAACCACATGTGCCACCCCCCGCAAAGATCAATATCCAAAGAACCAAACAGCATTACAACTGGCTCATGCTCCACACTTCTGGGTCCTATGCCTAAAAGGGCTCTATCTGGTGTAGACATTGTTCCTCTTGACCTAAGAATCTGTGGACTAGAAAGACATTGTACACACACACGCACACACACATGCGCACACATACACACACACACACACACACACTTCCCCCATATCCAAACAATACAGTGTGATTGCACTAAACAATCCCATTCACACTACAGTACAGAAAAAATACATCCACAGGAAGTAGTGTGGATTCTTTTATTAGGCCTAGATTCTGTAGTATGCTGGGAACTGCACTATTCATTTTCTCTCTGCCTACTGCCTGCACTCTCCAAAAATCTCAGGAGTAGAGGGAGCACTTCTTCCTTAACCCATGCAACTTGCCTACTGTTCATGAAAGCTTAGTGACGCAGGATTGTTTTAAGCCTTGAACAGCAAAAGGTTGTTTAGTCTAGGCTGATATATTTTCATGATAGTGGTGGTGGTTGGTTGGTTGGTTGGTTGATTTGTTGTGGCTCTAGGGAGGAGCACAGTAAATTCCCTCAAAGACGTAAAAACATAATCCACTGTTAATCTCTTTGCTTTTGGTCAGTTCTGTGTGCCAGTTATAATACTCAAAGAAGTATTCCTAGTGAAGGCTTGTAAAGAAGTAGTATGGGGCCAGGGATTAGCTCAGTGGTTCCACTGCCTGCCTCGCAAGCACAAGGTCCCAAGTTCAATCCCTGGT